CAAATTAAGAGTTTCTAAATACTTCCTATCCTTGTGGAAATAAGAAGATAAAAATCTTAACCTCAATTGTTTTTTAACCTCATTATAAAACAAAGTAGTAAAATATAATTCATCCGGTAAATGTGTTGCTTGTAGACACTAGCCATCTATTGAAAACACATTTCTATTAAAATTGTTCTCAATTTCTTAGATTTAGAGCACTTGATATCTAAACCACGCTGAGATTTTATTTTACAGGTCAAAACATGTGGATAAAAATACATTAGGATAATTAATGAAGCCGTTCTAATTTAGCCTGAAGAGACTTGAAATTCCCCGTGATGGCCTGTACTGCTGCTGATGGGCTCATAGACTGTAGCTCAACCAGGTAACCACAAATAGCATCCAGGCAGAGATTTGTAAATCTTCTCCTGCAAGGCAAAGACACCGCATCAACTCTGTGCATTTACACACATTCCTTCCCTCCAACTTCTGCTAACCTTTCTCACCTCCCCCACAGAAGCGCAAGGATCATGCCATTTAAGTAAATGGCAAACAAATAAGGAAACTCAGGGGGTAGGTGGATTACCACACAATCACCATTTTTCTTTTAAAGATGATTATAACTAAGAGGCAGTAAAGGATGATTCCATAAATGAGTATTTTTTACCATCTTTTGGCCTTTCAAACAAATATACCTTAAAATGGCCAATAATATCACAAAGTCATAATTAAACTGTCCTTGGTCACTAATTCAAAGCAGAAGGAATTTAGAAGTAGTTCATAAATTATATTCTTTCACTTGTAGAAAGAATTTAAGATACAGGTTGAAAAATGGAAAATAACTCTAACCTTTCTTTCATATATGCTGATTAGTATCATTCAAATAGTTCTCAACATATAAAAAGAGCTTTAATCTCCTATACTTCTTTATAATCACAGTATCTTTCCCCATTCTCTCCAATTTTGTTATCCAGGTATTTATTAGAAGCATTTAATAATGCAATATGTAAGTCATAGTTACCTCTCACAATTTAAAACCTGACTAGGATTCTCAACATATCTGGTCAATAGTACATGTAAACAATCCAAAAGGTGCAGTGGCTTCTTCATTCTGTTCCAGAATGGATCCTATATAGAAAATATAAATTGTGAGTTATAAAGCAAACTGTGTCAACTGCTCAACCATTTATGGTAGTTAAAACAGCCATCAGAGTCCAAGGCAAAT